AGGAAGGGTTCAGCATTCGCGAATTCACTGTTTGCAGTGTCTTTATGGAACATAACTGCCGTGAATAACGAGAATCCACAGTAAATATATGGAGCCTGCAGGGCACAGGGTCAAAGGGAAATGACTCCTGAAAGTACAGCCAAAAATGGAAGACATGAGTAATGGCAAGTCTCCATTTGAATGACAGGTCCTAGAGCCATTAAACTGGGCAATGGCTTCAGGTGCCTTGTCCAGCCCCTATGTGTACAAGGGTTCTTTCTAAAGCATTTCTAAAGGCTCGGGGAAATCTGTATAATATTTGCAAAGCCAGATCTAGTGACCACCATATCTCTTGATTCACAAATTTTCTTTCTTTCACATTTAATATTTCTGAAACCAGGAGACATCTCACACTTGATTTACATATTTTAACAAACCACCAAAACCCGTTCTCCCATAAGCTGTTATGAAATCCTTGGCATGCCTTCCAATCCAGGGGCCAGCCAACTTTTCCCCTAAAGGGCCAGGTGATCAATAGTGTAGGCTTTGTGGTCCCCATGATCTTTGTCAGGACTAACTCGGCTCAGCCAGTGTAGCGGGAAAGCAGCCATAGATAATATCTAAGTGAATGAGCATGGCTGTGTCCCAGTAAAACTGTTTCATACAATTTCCATATGTCACAAAAGATTCTTTTGATTTTTTTTCAACTATTTAAAAGTGAAAAAAACAAAAGTGGAAAAAACCTACAAAAACAGTTATTAGCCCAGATTTGGCCTGCAGGCTATATATAGTTGGGCTGCTCCTGATTTTATTCAATGGCATCACAGAATCGAGGGAAGACATTAGACCACCTTGGTGTCAGGCACTTGCTTCAGAAGAGGCTGCCCTTAGCCAATGGTATCTGCCCTTTGCTTGGTGTTCCTTTTCTATTAGAGAGTGAAATACGGATTTAACTGCTTAATCTTGATTTAACCTGATATTAAAGTTGGTAACTTATAAACAGGAATTGGTTTAGATTTTTACATTGTGCAGTATACACTTGCAGTAAGGATCTAGGAAATTTTGCAAACAAAATCAGGAAAAGTTCATACTTCTATATACAGTAGCATGCCGATGCATTTGAAACAACAGCCCTTTCATTAGAATTCCTTTGTGCATCAATGTTCTAATTATCCCTTTATCTTGAAACTCTGCTTTCCCCTTTTCCATTGTGTCCTTTTTCTTTGTGTTTTTCACATGTAATGTACAATAATAGACCTTATTCACAAGAAGGCGGAGCTGCGATCTAGAACGAGGCTTATAATACAAGGAAACTTAAACAGGGTGGAAATTAAATTTAAATACAAAAAAGTTAAAAGGAAATTGAACTCATGTTGCTTGGCACAGCATCCAAACAACGCATTTTGGAGATTTAATATTCATCACTGAGCAGAGATCCATGATTGGCTTTTATTATAAAAATGGTGATGAAGAACCAATTAAAATGTAACTTCAAATAATAATCAGAAGCAAATGGATAGTGGATCAAGGGTGAGTTTTCAGAAATTCCCTTGGTCATTCATGAGATGCTGGGCAGTCTCTACTTCCCACCCGAACAGCAGTCCGTTCCTGGGCACCTGGTCCGAACCAGGCTGCGCAAGCCTGCCCGCCTGCCTCTCCATCAGGTAGCTGGGGCTCTCTGGCAGCAGAGCCAGAGGAAACGTTTCTGGCCTGGAGCCCTGCCTTTGGCTACCCTCACTGGGGTTCCCCTTACCTAGAATCTGCAGGCAGGACTCACAGTAGAGCAGTCACAACCCTGTTGAGGCCTGTCTCCTGCCTCAGGGATACATGTGAATCCAGATGCCCCCCTGTCCATGCACACTGGCCCTTGGCAGAAGAGTGCAGCTTTTTTTTTTTTTTTAATGGCTAATCAACAAAAGATCCCCCCTTCCAGATGCCAACTTTGCTGCCAGCGCCGCCCCAGAGCATCGAACTAAATCCCCCAAATGCCTTGCAAAGTCCTAGAATTGAGCTCACATGGTAGTGCGCTCGCCTGCTAAGCGTTTGGCTGTGAAATGCCTTTTGGTGAGCACTGAAAAACCAATCTTTTTAGATATTTTTCTGATGGTACCTTTTTGATTGAGATGTAATTGACATAGTGTAAGTTTAAGATGCATAATGTGTTGCTTTAATACTTACATATCGCAATATGATTCCCACCAAAGCATTAGCTAACACCTCTATCACGTCACATAACATTTCTTTTTTGTGGCGGGAACAATTAAGATCTAGTCTCTTAGCAACTTTAAAGTTTATAATACATTATCGTTATCTGTAATCACTGTGGTGTGCATTCCGTCTCCAGGATTTACTTCTCTGCTGGTTTATCCTCAAGTATATTCCCAGTTCCCTAAGCCCCTAGTCACTGCCATTCTACTCTGTTTTTGAGTTTGCTTTTTCAGATTCCACATGTAAGTGAGATCATACAGTATTTTTCCTTCTCTGGCTGACTTAGCTCACTTAGCATAATGGCCTCAAGGTCCATCCATGTTAATCTCGAATGGCAGGAGCGCCTCTTTTCAGCTGAGTAATATCCCACTGTACATACATGTACTGCTGCTTTATCCATTCATCTGTTGACGGACACTTAAGGTTGTTCCCACATCTTGGCTGTTGTGAATACTGCTGCACTAAACATGGGAGTGCATGTCTCTCTTCAATAGCCTGTTTTCATTTGCTTTGGTTGTAGACCCCGGAGTGGAGTCGCTGGATCATAGGGTAGTTCAATTTTTAACTTTCTGAGGAACCTCCATACTGTTTTTCATAGTGGCTAGGCCAATTTGCATTGCCACCAACATTGTGTAACGGTTCACTTTTCTCCACATCCTCGCCACTACTTGTTATCTGACAGGTGAGAAGTGACATCTCATTGTGGTTTTGATTTGCATTTCCCTGATGATTAGGGATGTTGAGCAACTTTTCATGTACATGTTGGCCATCTGTATGTCTTCTTTAGGAAAATGTCTTCAATTCCTCTGCCCATTTTTAATTAGATTATTTGTCTTTTTTTTTTGTTACTGAAATATATGTTTATTATATATTTTGGATATTAATTCCTTACCCAATATATAGTTTGCAAACATTTTTTTCATTTTTTTGTTGTTTCTTTTGCTGCACAGAAGCCTTTTATTTTAAAGTAGTTCTACAAGTTGAATTTGGCTTTTGTTGCTTGTGCTTTTGGTGTCGCATCTAAAACGTCATTGCCAACACCAGTATCAAGAAGCTTCTTTTTTATGTTTTCTCCTAGGAGTTTTATGGTATCAGGTGTCATGTTTAGCCTTTAATCCATTTCAAGTTAATGTTTGTGAGTGGTGTAAGACAGGTGTGCAATTTAATTCTTCAGCATTTAGTTATCCAATTTTCCCAACATCATTTGTTGAAGAGACTGTCTTTCGCTCCCCTTTCAAATATTAGTTGACCATAAATGTAGGTGTTTATTTCTGGGCTCTCTTTCTATTTCATTGGTCTGGGTCTATGTTGATGCCAGTGCATTAGCTTTCTGATATGGTTTGAAATGAGGAAGTGTGATGCCTCTAGCTTTGTTCTTCTTTTCCATGATTTCTTTGGCTATTCAAAGCCAATTTTTTTTTTCTATTTCCAAGAAAAAGACATTGGAATTTTGATAGTGATTGTGTAGAATCTACATATGGCTTTGGGTACTATGGACATTTTTAAAAAATATTAAGTCTTCCGATCTGGGATATCTTTCCATTTGTGTCTTCAATTTCTTTCCTCAAATTCTTCCAGTTTTCATTGTAGAGTTCTCTTACTTCCTTGGTTAAATTCTGCCCCAAGCATTTTATTTATGTTGATATTGTGAATGGGAAATTTTCCTTGAATATTACTTTTCTAAATGTTTAGTTGTTAGTATGTAGAAATGTAACTGATTTCTGTATGTTGATTTTTATATCCTGCAACTTACTGAATTCGTTGATTAGTTTCAGCAGTTTTGAGGTTGAGTCTTTATAGTGTTTTCTATATAGAAGATCATAAGATCATATCATCTGAAAATAATGATAATATCACTTCTTCCTTTCCAATTTGGATGCCTTTTATTTCTATGTCTTTCCTAATTGCTTTAGCTAGGACTTCCAATACTATGTTGAATAAGAGTGGTAAGCATGAACACCTTTGTTTTGCTCTTGATTTTAAAGGAAAAGCTTTCAATTTTTCACTGCTGAGTACATTAGCTATGGGTCGGTCAGGCCTTTATTATGTTGAGGTACATTCCTTCTATATCCAATCTGTTTTTATCATGAAAGGATGTTGTATTTTGTCTTTTTTTTTTCTATCTATTGAGATGGTTATGTGCTTTTTATCTTTCATTCTATTAATGTGGTATATCACATTGATTTACATATGTTGAACCATTCTTGCCATATCAAAGATAAACCCCACTTGGTTATGGTGTGTAATCCTTTTAATGAGTTGTCGAATTTGGTTTGCTAATATTTTGTTGAGCATTTTTGTATCTCTTAATCAGGGACATTCTTCTATTGTGTTTTGTTTTGTTTTTTTCTTGTAATACCTTGTCTGGCTTTAGTATCAAGGTAATGCTGGCCTTATATAATGAGTTTGGATGTGTTCTCTAGTCTTCATTTTTTTGGAAGAGTTTGAGAAGGACTGACATTAATTCTTTAAATGTTTGGTAGAGTTCACCAGTGAAGCCATCTGTTCCTGGGTTTTCTGCGTTGGGAGGTTTTTGATCACCATTTCAATCTTCTTACTATTGGTCTGTTAAGATTTTCTACTTCTTCCTGATTCAGTCTTAGCAGGTTGTATATTTCTAGTAATTTATCCACTTCTTCTAGCTTATCCAATTGTTAGCATCTCACTGTTCACAGTCGTGTACTATGGTCTTTTGTATTCCTGTTGTGTCAGTTGTAATGTCTCCTCTTTCATTTCTGATTTTGTGTCTTTTCTCTTTTTTCCTTAGTCTAAAGATTTGTTAATTTTATCTTTTTCAAAAACCACGTGTTAGTTTCATTTTTTTTTCTAGTATTTCTCTGGTCTCTATTTTCTTCTCTGATCTTTGTTGTTCTAACTTTGGGCTGAGTCCTTTTTCTAGTTCTTTTGAGTTGTAAAGCTCGGTTGTTTATTTGAGATCTTCCAATTTCTTAATATATGCATTTATCACTATAAACGTTCCTCTCCAAACTTCTTTTGTAGCAACCCATAGGTTTTGAAATGTTTTGGTTCCCTTTTATTTGTTTCATGTTATTATTATTTTCCACATATTTGTAGATTTTTTTCAGCCCTCCTCTGGTTGTTGATTTCTAGTTTCATATCACTGTAATCAGAAAAGATAAACGTGGTATGGTTTCAATCTTTTTAAATTTGCTGAGACTTGTTTTGTATTCTATATGGTCTATCCTAGAGAATGCTCTGATGCACTTGAGAAGACTATGCATTCTACTTCTGTTGGATGAAATGTGTCTATACCTGTCTGCTAGGACCATTTTGCCTAGTGTTTGGTTCAAGTCCAATGTTTCCTTGTTGCTTTTCTGTCTGGATGAAAGTGGGGTATTGAAGTCCCCTACTACTATTGAATTGTCTGTTTCTTCCTTCATATGTTTTTCTATCTATATGATTGTTGTATCTTTTTGATGAATTGGCCCATTTATCATTATATTTTGACTTTCTTTGTCTCCTGCACCCGTTTTTGGATTGAAGTCTATTTTGTCTCATATAAGTTCTACCTCTACTTTCCTTTGGTTTTCATTTTCATGGAATATCTTCCATTCCTTCATTTTAAGCTTATGTAAGTGAGTCTCTTGTAGTCATCATTCAGTTGGGTATTACTTTTTTTATCCATCCAGCTACTCTGTACCTTTTAATTGGCAAATTCAATCCATTAACATTTAGAGTTACTACTGATACATAAGGACTTACTAATGCCATCTTACTGTTTTCTAGTCGGTTTGTATTTCCATTCTTTGGTTTCCTCTGTTTCAGCCCATGTTTGTAAATCGTTGAGTTTCCATGGCGGTATGCTCTGTTTCCCCTTTCTTTATCTTTTATGCATCTACACTAGGTTTTTGCTTTGTGGTCACCATGAGGCTTGCAATAAGACCGCATAGATAAAACAGTCCTTTTTAACCTGATAGCAACTTAAATTGTCTATAAAAGCTTCACTCTTACACTCCGCCTCTTATATCCTTGATGCCATTATTTACCTCTCTTTATATTGTGTATTTGCTAATAAATTACAGAAGCTGTGATTATTCTCAATACTCTTTCCTTTGAACTTTATAGTTAACACAGCATCCTCTTACAGAATTCGAGTTTTCTAAATCTATTTACCATTGTGTTGCATACTTTCATGTTTTCATGTCTCTCATGGCATGTTTATTTCAGCTTGAAGAGCTCCTTTCAGCCTTTCTTACAAGGCAGGCCTAGTGGTGATGATCTGTCTCCACTTTTGTTTGTCTAGGAAAGTCTTTATTTCTCCTTCATAGCTGAAGGATGACTTTTCTTAGCTGGCAATTTCTTTCAATACTTGGAATATCTAATTCTACTCTCTCCTGGACCACGGGGTTTCTGCCCAGAAATCGACTGATAATTTAATGGGGGTTCCTTTGTACGTTATAATCTTTTTTTCCCCTGGCTGCTTTTAGAGTTCTTTTATCTTTAATTTTTGAGTTTCATTTTAATGTGTTTTGGACACGGTCTTTGTGCATTGAGATAATAGAGTGATATATTAGCTTTGTGAACTTGGATATTGAATTATCTCCCCAAGTTTGGGAAGTTATCAGCTATTATTTCTTTAACTTTCTACCCCTTCTCTTCTTCTGGAATCGCAATTATTCTAATACTTGTTCTTTTGATGAAATCCTATATAGATCGTGTAGGCTTTCTTGACTCATTTTCATTCTTTTTTCTTTGTTCTCCTCTACTCTAACTGGGTTATTTCACAATTCCTGTCCTCTTATTCTGTGTTCCACTTGCTCTACTCTATTGCAGATGCTCCACTTTACATTTCTCATTTCAGTGACTGAGTTCTTCAGCTCTGTGATTTCTGGTTCTCTTTTATGATTTCAGTCTTGTCAGTAAATATCTCATTTTGAACCTACGTTTGTTTTTTCTTTCATGAATTGTCTTTGAGTTTTCTGTTAGCTCACTGAGTTTCTTCAAAATGGGGATTTTAGATTCTTTAGGAGCAAGATCACAAAACAACATGCCTTTGAACTTGGTTATTAGAGATTACCCTTTGGATGACATGTTTCCTTGATTGTTGTTGTTCGTTGGAGTTTTGTATTGCTGCTCTCTCATTTCAAGTTGCAGACTCCTCCTTAAATCTTTGCAAGCTGTCTTCAGATTAGTTTTCTGTTTATTGGTGCTGATGTTCTAGGGTTTTTCTGCTTTTGTATGGGTACTTTTGCCTTGCTCCCTCTTGTGGCAGAATTCTTGAGCTTTTTAGGTTTTTGGTTCTTACCACTCACCCGGCTGGTTGCTGGGAAGACTCTTGTTTTCCAGAAGGTGGCGTTATAGCTTAAGTTAGTGGCTTCTCCCTTGTCCTGTTTTCTGGGGACACTCCGTACCGGGTCTTGTTCTTGCCTCCATACTTGGAAGAGCCCACCACAGAAGTGAGGGTAGGTGTGGATTTGGCACTTGGGCATTGGGGGTCTCTGCAGACCCAGTAGGGAGATCCCCAGGTGTTGTGCTCCTGGAGGCTCATGGGTAGACTTCCTACTGAGCCCAGTCAGCAGGGAGCCTAGCTGTTCCTTTAATGTCTTTCAATATTCTTATCTGCCTCTTTTCCTTCCTCCTACCGTCATGGAGATCCTGCTGAAGACAATGGGGCTTCTCCAGCTACACCCCCTGGGGTAGCCAAGCACTCACTGTGCCCCCCCACCCCACCATGGGAGATGTGTCCACCCCAGTAGTTCAGCCCCATCCATTGTTGTTGCCTCAGGCAAGGGTGCTGCTGGTAAAGTTCTGTGTCCACTGCAGCCAAACTTTTTTTTCCCCCCTCTTACGGCATGCTGGAATTCCCCCTGAGGAAGGCTGGACTTCCGCAATTTCTCTCTCGTCTATGGGTATCTGCTCAGGTCAGCACTCTAGGTTTTTTCCCCAACTGTGGCAAGTTCACTGCTCTGTTGCCTCCACAGCTCCTACTGAGGTCTGTTGGCCTATTACTGGATGAACTGGTAGGCACGACTCCTCCCTTGGCTAATAGGATCCCACAGAGGCACTTTTGTTAGTGGATGGATGTCCGATTCTTTGTTGAAAGGGGGGTACAAAAAGGAGGAACCATCTTACGCTACCATCTGGTATCTTTCTGATTCTTTTTCTCTCGGTCACATGGAGGAGGCCTTCAGGACTCTCTTAAGTGCAGCCTTTAAAGAGAACATTCCAAGAGCACTCAGCAGAGCAGTGGTCCCACCTGTTGTTAAAGGTTAATTTATGTCTGGGTGTAGAAACAAATACTACTAAATCGGGGGTCTTTTGCACCCTGTTCCTATCTATGTCTTAGCCCACCTACATCGTCCGCGCTGGGTGGAGGTTTTGAACCAAGTCCAGACTCCTTATATAATCACGGCACCTTCCAGTGATCACAAGCATTGGCAGCAACACCTGCACTATATAGTCAGTCACTGACCGTTTCTATTACTGTAACAGAATTCAGAGTTGAAGCTCTGTATCTTTGCCCCCAACCATTTAGCTGGCTAAAATTCTGATCTTTGAAAATAAAGCTTCAGACCTCCCCCCAGTGCTCATTTCCAACAAAAGCTTGATCCTAATTAGGTGAGAGTTCTGGAGTCAGCAGACAACTTATGAGAAATGAACATGCTGGTGAGAACATGTAGGACCCCACCTCAGGGAAGGCTGTTTTCAGGTGCTGTGCCACCCCTCAGTGGTTGTACAGCCTTAGAAGAGCAACACCAGACCCTCCCTGTATGGCACCCTAGAGGCCCTGCTTGTGACATAAGCAGGGCATGGGGACAAGCTCTGGGTGGTGACTCAGGGACAGTGGGGAAAAGACACTATAGAGCCTGAGGGCTTCCTCATCAGAGCCAGCAAAGTGCTTTCAGACACTCTGACCTGGCCATGCTCCTCTGACAGCTGCGGCCCATTGGGCTCGATAAATCATACTGAGAATCTTGGTAAACTTCTGTGATCCCAACTGACGCATTTCTGTACAGAATGAAAAGTCACTGCACAAGACTCTCTGATTCCTATTAATGTAGGACCCTTATTACTGATTATAATTAGGGTTCTTGCTTCTCCATCTAGCCTGGTGTTACCAGGAAAGGCCAGTGGGAACGAATATTGAGACGGCAGGCCAGGCCTGCCATGTGTCTCACTGCAATTAAGGCATTCGTGCTGACAGGCCATGAGCTTTTAGTTCTGTAGCCATGACCACCCTCCTACCCCTATCCCTCTGACCAGAGAGATCAGGGATGGGGCTCATGGCGTACATATGAAGTCACCTTAAAACCCAACATAAACAAGTGGAAGGAAATCAGGACGACAGGGAAAGATAAAAGGGGTTATCTTTGTGTACTGATGGATGAGGTTAGCTTTGCATATTGAGTTCTGTACTATTTACATAGTGTCACTAAAATGAAGATGCCCGTTTATATTACCCAGTTTTTGTTTGGGTTCATTGACTAAAACTGGCAACACAGCGCCCTAAGAACAAATACTGTTGAATTAAGTTATTTCTGGGCACTGAAGAGTTTGGGAGAAGTCAGAGGATCGAGGGCCGCAGCTTCTTACCAGCGCTGCTCGGAGATGCCAGGAAGGGGCCTCTCGTGGGTGCTGTGTGGCTGCCTAGGTGGGTGCTGTCTTCAAGGGCTCTCAGGCCATTTAAGGACCTGCAGGTGTGAAAGGTTAGAGCAGTAAGAGACGTGAACCACAGGATAAAACAGGAATGGCGCCACCTGGCTCTTCCACTAATTGGCAAGGAAATTAGATAAAATACGGCACCTGTGAATTCAGCGGAGAGGAAGGGTCCTCAGGTGGGGCTCCCGGCAGGCCTGGGGCCGGGGAGGTGATTGCAGGGAGTAGGGGAAACAAGTAGTAAAAGCCAATACTCACATCATTTGAAGAAAACGAGTGACATTTTTGAAAAACCATTCCATGCCCAGTGAGTGGCCAAGGAAACTTCTGGACTATGCCGGGAGGGCTGCCCACACAGAGTCATCCTGAAGTGATTTAAAAGGTGGCCTCTGAGAAGGTCTGGCTGTGCCCCCACTACACTAAACACGCCAGGGCTGTGGCAGGCGCTGATGAACTCTGCTCCTCCTAGTGGTTTCAGACTTCACAGGGGGGAACAGTGGTTTGGGCTCTAACTACAAGCTATCTGTGGTCATTTAGTGACACACAGCCACCACCCAGCACCACCTTCCAGAGTGTGACCACCGCCTGGCCTATCTCTGCCACTTTCTGTACTGGCGGCAGGGGCCAGTTTTGCTCAAGGAGGAGATGGGGACAGCGTCTGGTGAGGGCTTGTGGACTGTACCTGACAATACCTTGTTCCCTGGCTCCTCTGGGCTCAGGCAGGGGTTCTGCCTGCTGGGTTTCTCCGTGGGCACCCATGCACTGCACCAGGCTGACACCTAGGAGACACCCATGCATATGTGGGGCGTGGCCGTTAAGACACTTCACCGTGACACCGCATTTTGGCGCACAAACCAGTGTCCATTGGCTGGTCAAGGTCCCTCCCACCCAGGGTTTCTCACCCAGCTCTCAGGGCCCAGAGCAGCCTCCTCATGCTCTGACCGCCTGCAGCTTCGCCTGTCCTGTGACACGTCTTTTCTGCAGGGCTGGTGTACTTGTGCTGTAGCAGCACCCCACCTCACACATCGCCTAAGGGCCAGGGGCTGCAGCAGGTCAAGGCTGCAGAGGACCGTGGGAGGGCTCTAAGGGTCAGCCAGCGCTTGGCGGGTAGAACCTGCAGCCTGGACCAGTGTGACCCAAGTCCTCACCCAGTGACTGGGGGCACCTGGCTTTGAGCCTCACAGATGAACCCTGACCTTACCCACTGCAGTCCCTGGCTCAGAGTCTGCTGGCTGGCATCCTGCAGAGGTTTTCAGGGTGGGCCCAGCAGGATTCCGAAGCAGCCAGGACCGTCCCCTAACTGCCGAGGTTCCCCAAGCTTCCAGCCCCATTAGAATCCTGGCCACCCCAAGAGAGAGCCCTTTCCTGAGAGTGGCTGGCAGTGACAAGGCCCTCTCCCTCTAGGTGTTCACAGGGTCAGATGCCTGGCCTGGAGCTGCCAGGGCCATCCCCCCTGCCCCAGGGAGGCCCCCATCCATTTGCAGCTGGCCAAGGCATTACTGTAAACAGAAGCCCTGGGTAGCCGCTCATGACTGGAAACAAGCTGCTTTCTCAGTTTCTGGAACAGGGAACAGAGGTGGGCGGGAAATGCCAGCCCCAGGTTAATATGCATGGTTAGTGAGTAGTGTCTGGGACACTTGTCCCCAGCCAACCTGCAAGGAAAAACAGCCAAGCCCCTGGCCCTGGCCCGTCTCTTCTGCTTTTCTCAGCATCTCCTAGGCAATGCTTGGTGCTGAGAACACATTTCTGTGGGTGTTACAGACAAGGACGGGAAAGCCTGGGCCCTGTCCCCATTAACAGAGACGCTGCCGTGCACGCTGCCTCATGGTCAAGAACTGATTTACTCTGCTCTGCATCTCTTATCGCATTTATGAATTGGCATTGCTGTCGCCTGTTTTCAAATATAATCTCTAAGTGGCCCTGCTCGGTAAGTTGTTTCAGATGTCAGTGAGTCGGCTAACAGACACTGCCTCACGTGAGTTACCGCACACTTGCTGTCATCCCAGGCCACATGGCTATGGTGCTCAGGACTGTTGTCCCCCACTGAAGGGAGCGGCCGACAGCTGGCACCTCTGATGTACTCGTGGCACCACATGCAGAAAGGGGGAACGCAGCATGGCTTTTAGCTTTCACAGCCACTGCCAGCCCCCACCTAGAAAAGTAAAAAATGGGATAAGTTTTTTCATTTTCTTGCTCTTTCCTGGAAAGGCAGAAAACAGAGTTCTCCTGTCCCTCACTTTATAGAGCAGGTCTTGTAAACTGTGTCCCATAGAGAAAAGCAGTGTCTTATGGTTGAAGGAGCTTGGGACCAGGGGGAGGACCGCAGTAAAGAGGCTTTGCCCTGGCAGTACTCCTCCACGCCAGTTCACGCCGTCAGGCCTCTCCGACACCCCCATGAGGCAGATACTCTTATCACCCCATTTTACAGGTGTGGAAACTGAGACCCAGCATTCACAAAGCAAGCGCTGTGTGTGAGCCCGCCCAGAGCAGGCATCGTGTGTGCTGTGTCCCAGTTTATTTGGCGCCCACGTCTTGCAGGTGCAGAACACTGGGTTAAACCTCATTGTCCCTGGAACCTGCCCAGAGAAATAGCACAGCAGACAGAGGACATGCGCAAACGGAGGCGTCAGACATTTTTCCCAGTGAGATTTTTCTCGATTCCTGGTTTATAATGAAGGACTTGACCACATAGTTATTTACTATCCCGCTCAATTTAAACTTGCTAATTGAGTTTTTAAAAAATTCTGAGGGAAAGTTACAGATGTGTTTCCACCAGAATCACTTTTATGACATGTAATATTAATATTGCATGCTTTTGCTACAGTGGGCAGTGATCAAAAGTCATCTTTCCTATGATGGAATATGTAAAAAGTAAAGTGTATTTTGTGATTTGAAATTATATTCCTAGTAAATAGACTAGTAACTCTTAATGCTAGACTGTATTTAAGGGGTTTTTTTTTAGGTTTGTTTTTAACTTACAGAATTGGGAGCAGTTCCGATCCAGGAAGATGAGAAAGGTCCTTGGGTCACAGAGTAGGGAAAATCGCTGGGCAGGCGAAGAGACATAAACATTTTCCTTGATGCTTTCTCTCTCGCTATCTCAGAGTCAGCCTGCAATAAAAAGTGGATGGGAATGGAGGGATGCATAAAGAAGATGTAGTGTATATATATACACACAATGGGGTATTATTCAGCCAAGAAAGAAATTCTGCCACTTGCTACAACATGGATAGACCGAGAGAACATTATGCTACGTGAAATAAGTCAGATAGAGCAACACAAATACTGTATGATCTCACTTACATGTGGAACCTAAAAAAGCCATACTCAACAGGAACAGAGAGTAGAATGGTGGTTACCAGGGGCTGGGGGAGGGAGGGGGGGGGAAGAGGAGATATTGGTCAAAGCTTACAAACTTCCAGTTATAAGGTGAATAAATTCTGGGGATTGAAGGTACAGCATGGTGATTAGAGCTAATCAATACTGTATTATATACTTGAAATTTGCCAAGTGAGTATATGTTAAGTATTCTCACCACAAAAAAGAAATGGTGATTACGTGATTTTGCAGCAGATGAATATATCAAATCAGTCCGTTGTATACCTTAAATGTATGTTCTATGCCAAGTATATGTCAGTGAAGCTGGGGGAAGAGTCCAAAGAAAGTGCCTGAGAAGTTGGAGCCCTGCCCCATCTCAGGACATGGAGGAGGGCGGATAAGGGCCAGGCGACTGCCAGCGGAAGTCCTGACTGCCCCCCCCCCCCAACAGTCACAGCAGTATCCGCATGGCCAAGCCAGGCCTAAAGGGGGCACAGCCCTGCTCGGTCCGCCGCCTCAGTGCCCTGGGCATCGCCCATGTGGGCCCTGTGCCAGCATCTGCCCTCCACCCCTAGCCCACCTTACAAGAAGGCCCATCACAGACATCCAGACATACCTGAACATACCTGCCGCACCCAGGTCACACATTTAGAAAATAAGAATTTTCTGAGAGCAATTCAGTGACGCAGCCACTATGAACCCTGTCACTGTCGTCACTGAGGGAGCTAATCCTCAGCAGCTACACAGCTCTTGGCTGAATCTGTTTTGCATGCGAGGCCTATCACGTGCCAAGTGCCACCAGCACACTCCTTCCTGCCTCCAGACAGAGGAACTCGGCTCCATGAATTAGGCAGCTTCCCAGACCTCGACTTCCTGGTTGGATTTCCCAGTGTTGCTCTTTGCGTTGACAAAAGAGTCGAACACAGAGTGGTCTAGGGACAGGAGAGGAAATCCGGCCTCCATGTCATGTCCCCTCTCTGTCTTTATTGCAGTTGGTGAGCGACTTGCTGGAGTTTTGCTTCTATACCTTCCGAGAGTCGCAAGCCCTGAAAGTGGAGTTCCCCGCGATGCTGGTGGAGATCATCAGCGACCAGCTGCCAAAGGTGGAATCCGGGAACGCCAGGCCCCTTTACTTTCACAGGAAGTGACGGAAGATGTCTTACCAGAAGAACTTTGCCTTAAGTTTCCTTGTGTAATTCCACACCCACGAAGGACCCAAGAAATCATATTTTTACCATATGATGGTTGATTCACCCTTGTTCAACAGTTTCTCAAGTTTAAAGTCACGTCAAGGGTTTGGAGCCCAGAAAGCAGTCAGACGTGGATTTGGCGAGACCCGAACAGTCCAAAGGATTCCTCCCTCTCCAGTCTCCCTGACTCCCCCACCCCTCCACCCCCAGTGCTTAGAAACACGTTCCTGTTCCTCTGGATGAAAAGCCATATCTAGTCAAATAACTCTCTGATTTTGATATTTTAACAGATGGAAGTTTTAACTATGCCATGTAGTTTCTGGTATTGTTCGCTTGTTTTCAAAGGGTTCAAGGACTAATGGACTTTGTAAAGCTTACCCTTGGTTTGCACATAAAACGTATAGTCTATATGGGGCATTAATATTCTTTTGTTATTTAAAAAACACACAAAAAAAGAAAAAAGTCTATACAGATTCCTGTTGTGTACTAAGATCACGTGGTGGGGAACAGCGCCCCCCTTGGCTCTTGCCCGCCTTCCTCTGCATCTCTGGTATCCACACCCTTTAGCGTCCATTTATTATTTAATTAGAATGGATAAGATGTTAAAACAAATGCCTTGGTTTTACTTTCTAGTATCTATTGTGTTGGCTTTACAGATCATTTTTTTGCAGTCTTTTGCTGTGCTGTACATTACTGTATGTATAAATTGTGAAGGACCTGAAATAAGGTATAAGGAACTTTTTGTAAATGAGACAAAAAAAAAAAAAAAAAAAAAAAAACTTCAATGGTTAATAGAATGAATGGGAAAGTATTTTTGAAAGAATTCTATTTTGCTGGAGACTATTTAAGTACTATCTTTGTCTAAACAAACACAGTAAAAAAAATTTTTTTTTGTAAAGTGAAATGTTCTGCATGCCTAATGAACCGTTTACAGTGTATTTAAGAAAGGGAAAGCTGTGCCTTTTTTTAGCTTCATATCTAATTTACCATTTTACAGTCTCTGTTGTAAATAACCACACTTCAAACCTCTTCGGTTGTCTTGAAGCCTTTCCACTTCACCTGTACTTTTCGTTCTGTCCTTGGTCTCCCGCGTGGGGTGTCCGTGGGACGTGAGCACGTTTTCCCGCCTCTGCTTCATCCTGCTTCCATCGCGGTACAGCATGCTGGGCTGTCTGCAGCTCCCTGAAGGTGTCCCTTTGACAACCCACGCGTGGGAGAAGGTCGTGGAAGCGTGCGGCGTTAGGAACGCTGCCTCCTTTCCCTCCAGAAGCAGAACCTGCTCTAGGCGAGTGAGACTGTGGAAACACAAGAGCTCAGCGAGCCTGTGCTCATCCCATTTTAGAAAATTGAATTTTCTCCTTTGGGGGGGAAAAAGTCCACGCACTCTGCACATCTGTAAAAGGTGACATGTTCGCGTCTTGTCTTGGAAAGGGGTTTTGCACTCCTGGAACCAGTCACGGGAACACGTAGGTCTTGACAGGGTGTACCGGGAAGAGGCACGTTGCCTCGGTTCCATCAGACGGGCGTGGAGACCGCACGATCATTAGAGGGTTTTTAGATTTTTAAAGGGTAGGTTTTAACAACTAATTTTATACAGTTTTGGAGGAAAAAAACAAAACAAACTACAGATCATATAAGCGAGACAGGGGCACTACAATTTGTAATTAATTAATCTGTTTGGCACTGATGCCATTTATGGCTTTTCTCTTGCGCCCCCCCCACCCCACCCCACCCCCGATCACAGACATTTATCTCTGGGGAAACTTAACAATGTGATTGCACTACATAAACTGCTTTGAATAGAGGCCAAATTAATCTTTTAAAAGTGATGATAATCATCAGGGACTCAGTGTAAGTCGCATTATTTTCCAAAACCTAAAAATCGTAGCCGGAGAAGCCCCAGGCCAGGAGAAGGCAGCACTGGGATGCACACTTCTCTCCAGGGTTCACCATGCAGGCAACATTAACTTGTCTTTCCAAAGACACCTGCCTTACGCAAGGGGAAACCTGTGAACGCTGCACTTGGTGGGAGGAGTTCTTACCTAATTTGCAATTTCAAGAATTTAATTTCTAGGCCAATCTTTAAATACAGCCAACCGTACTTACATGCACAGCAATATGAAAGCCACATTCGGAAGGTGACCGATACACAGCATGCAGACTGGGAGTTTCTAGAAAAGAAATGGCGTACACAAGAGCAGCTTTTAGCTCAGACTCCGACTGACTTTTTGTGAAATCGGGATTTCAGCATCACCAGGTTTGGGATGGTAACCAGGTCTGCATCAGCTTTTTTTGTATTAACAAAGTTACTGGCTCTGTGTGTCTCCGGGTAACTTTGCTTGATTAAACAGCAAAGCCATATTCTAAATTCACTGTTGAATGCCTGTCCCAGTCCAAATTGTCTGTCTGCTCTTATTTTTGTACCATCTTGCTCTTAAAAAAAAAAAAATCTTGGTTTGGTACAATTCATAATTCACCAGAACTTCTTCATATAATTAAAAAAATACTAAATTAGTTTAAAATGAAGCAATTTATATCTTTATGCAAAAACATGTCTGTCTTTGCAAAGGACTGTAAGCAGATTACAATAAATCCTTTACTTTAATCACCTGTTGTTTTGGAAACAGTTCATTTGAAATGTCTTTAGGGACACCTGGATTTTTTTGCCCCTCTAAATCTTGACTAGATGTGCTTCTGCCTACATCCAAGACGGAGTAACAGGTTTTTTTCCCCCTAAAGAGCCCTGTGTGAGTGGCATGTTAATTATACTGTCTGGGGAGTGTGAGGTGCCTTCTTTCTTACCGCTAATACTTGGTCCACTAAAATACCCTGTAAAATTTAAGACAATAACTGCTACCACGTAGCTGCTAAACATTATCGATAGACATTGCCATACTGATCTTCACAACTGCACGAAAGCCTGTTCGTTTGACCGACTTGGAGACTCACGTGAGTAGAAACGATGCCTGTCTAACTCCAGGCTTCTCCGCCCAGTCTTTCTTGTCGAGCTCTCACCCCTAGTCCTCTTGGGCTCTCAAGGGCTCCCACTCCCCAGCGGCCATGACGCTTCTCCTCCTCCTTACAGGCTGCTCTCCTTGACACCACTCCTTTTATACGGGTCACAAAAGAACAGTAAGCAATTATCAGCTCATTTTAAAATTAGAACACATTTTTTTTTCCCCACAAGATAAATTCAAGTACAGTCCTGTGTCATTTAACGACAGGGATGTGTGCTGACAAACGCATCATGAGGCGGTTTCATCATTGTGCAAAGACAGAGTGCACATCCACCAACCTAGATGGCCTAGCCTCTATCTCCTGAGCTACACACCTGTACATGCTTGTTACTGTTAAATACTATAGACAACTGTAATACAGTGTTAGGTATCTGTGTATCCAAATCTATATCGAAACATAGGAAAAGTGCCGTAAAAATACACTGCAACACACTTAAAAATAGTACACCTGTATGGGCCACTTACCATGAATGGAGCTTGTAGGACTGCAAGTTGCTCTGGGTGAGTGAGTGAGTGGGTGGTGAGTGAATGAGAAGGCCTAGGACGTTAGTGTATGGGACCGTGAACTTTATAAACACTGTGCCCTTAGGCTGCACTAAATTTGTAAAACAGCATGAGATTAAATCAAGCACAAGAGAAAATGATGCAATCAAGAGACACGGTAAACAAGAAGAGATGTATGTGGCTGCTGCTGGCGTAACACAGCACACACCTTTACAGCAAGCTTTTTCTGTAAATAGAGTACTCTCTAAAATAGTGATAAAACTATAGTCAATACATAAATCAGTAACATAGTCATTTACGATCAAGTATTATGGACTGCACATGACTGTAAATGCTATACTTTTATAGGACTGACAGAAGGTTTGTTTACACCAGCATCACCGCAAACACGTGAGTAACGCCTTACCTGACAGCGTTAGGATGGCTCGGATGTCACTAGGTGATAGGACTTTTTCGTCTCCATTATAATCATATAGACCACCGTCATGTATGCAGTCCATCGCTGACCGAGAGGTCGTTATCCAGTGCATGACTATATTTTTAATATGTTATTTAATTGGTGATCATACAAACCATTTGCTTTCAAAAGAGAAGAGTATTTGAGAATTAAACGAATTTAACTTGGCTTAAACACAATACATACATTTCTGGAACACCACATTGTCATTAAACAGCACAGGGAAAAAAAAGACTAGACTTGTATGCACAAATTTGTCTGTAAAACATCTATAAATGAAGGTTAATTTAATATCTTAAATTTTATGGAATTGGACCTATCGGGGATCACGGCTTTTCACAAAGAGATCGTAACTTTAAATAAAAGCCATCTTAGGCTGTGAGCCCACTGAGGCTAGGAGGAGGCCACACCACTCGGCACCCTCATTAAAGTGGGTGACCTTTCTGAATAGAGTGGGCTCAGTCTTAGGTCAAGTGAGACCATATTTCTAAGAATTTCCAAAAGTGCCCGGAGGCCCAAAGACTCCAGCTGCACATTTAGGAATCAGCTAAGAGCTAAGTTTCTGCCACTGAGACAGCCAGCCATTGTATGCCGAAACAGTAAAAATTATGCCTTGTGTTGCACATATAGTTAGGGGCATAGTTAGGGGCTGGTTTGCTTCTTTTCGCTGAATGCCCCTCCAGCAAACAGAAAACATTGCCCTTTTATGTTAAAGTCGGCTCTAACATATGTTTTGATAAACTGTAAGTGTACACAGACTAGAATGACTTGAATATAAGTATCTCTGACACTTTAATTTCAAGTCATCCAATTGCTAGTGCAGCATTTTTCTTAGAAAACACTGGTTTCCCAAACAACACTGGGTAAGAGAAGAGAAAGATTTTATCTGAATGGCCAGCATGGACCAAGACTGTATAGAAAAGCAAAGTAAACAACAGGGCAGAATAGCAGGTAGGTAGCTGCAAACCCCCAAAAAACTTAGTGGTTTAAATCAACTGCCATTGATTATTTCGCATGAGTTTATGAGTTGGCTAGGTGGGTTCTGCTCTGCTGACAACACCTGAGAAGCCATCTGCAGAGATAGGAGCAGGAAAGCTGCTGAGGACTCTCGTCCTCCAACAAGCGGAAAGGAAAGAATGCCGCGTGACTTGGGAAGATTCGGAAAGACACAGAAAACGTGGCTGAGGAAGGAGCCACCGAAATCACCTTGGGGAGACTTGAGAAGGGAACCAGTCAGAAAGTGGGAAGGGGCCCAGCACTGAGGTGAAAAGGGAACGAAGACAAGGCCAAAGTTAAGGAGGCAGAGGGCGCCCTTGGGAAGGAGGGGAAAAGCAAACAATGCAGGGCGGAGGGAAAGAGCAAGGAATGGCCTTTGGAGCAGGGGACACGGGAGAGAAGCGGGGTGTGGCTAGAAGATGAGAAGGGGGACAGACTAACCCCTTGCCCCCCTGTGCCTGTCGGCTGCCTCCTCCCATCTTCTCCATTTACTAAACCTTATTTCCTGCCACGTACCCTGCAGGCACTTAACCTTCATTGTCAGCTGTCACAACAGCGCAGTGAGGTTGGCACTGCTGTCTCCATTTCATAGGAGAAAACGGAAGCATCAAGAGGTCACGTTAACATGCCCAAGGTCACCAAGGTATAAAACAGTAAAAACCAAATTTCCAAATAGGCTGTTTTTAACTCAAAACCTACTTTTAGCCACTGTATTAGCTTCCTGGGGCTGCTGCAGCCAGGTGCTGCCAACTGCGGGGCCTAAACAACAGAAAAGCATTGGCTCACAGTCCTGGTGGCTGGAAGTCTGAGGCCAAGGTGTCGGCAGGGCTCATGCCTTCTGAGAGCCGCGAGGAAAGGATCTGCTGCAGGCTCCTCTCCTCGGCTTGTAGATGGCCGTCTTCTCCCTGTGTCCTTCACCCTGGCTTCCCTCTATGTGTGTCTGTTTCAGTATCCAAATTTCCTTTTTTTCTAAGGACACCAGTCACACTGGATTAGGGCTCAACTCTACCGACCTCCTCTTAACTCATTACATCCGCAATAACCCTATTTCCAAATAAGGTCACATTCTGAGGTACTGGGGTTAGGGCTTCAACATACGAATTTTGGGTGGGTTGGGGTTCAAATTCAACCCATAACAGCCATTATCCCCTACTGGCCCCCAGAGGCAAGACGGTGCCGCAGAAAGAACATGTGACTAGCCTGTTGAGCTTGAGCAAAGTTCTTTGCTCTTGAGTGCCTTCATTTTCTCACCAAAAAAATGGGATAATTTCTCCTGCTCACTTAGTCACTGTCAGGAAAGGAGGAGTTAAACACCCATCACGAGCTCAGACAACCCACTGCTTCCCCCATCCCCACCCTCAACGGCAGACATTTCTGCTACTGCACAGGAAGTGGGGTGCAGCCCCCACCAGCATATTGTCTCTGTTCTCGCCTGGCGTCTCCTTTGTAGGCACAGAAACCACCAGGGTAGGCCTCTGGGTGCCTCCCTCAGATGCAGGCCCCACAGTCCCACTACAAACAGGAAACACAAAATCCAAGTGTCCTCTTTTGCCCCAAAGCCCCCCGTTGTGCCTCTGGGTGAGCACAGGTTGCAGACTTGGTCTAAACAGCTGCAGGTGGTGCTGAGCCAGGAGGCTGCGGGGCGCGGGGCCAAAGCCCAGAGCAAGGTGGGGCCGCTGCTCAGGCAGCCTTCAGCGGATGCACAGCGCATCAGCCACACCGAAGCATCAAAACGCAGAAAACAATATACCCCATTTCTCTACTGGGGAAATGAGCCATTCTTTGCCCAAGTAAGAGAGCACCTCATGATCCCATTACTAAGTCTACTCTGGGCCAGGCCCAGGGAGAGGCTCCCTGACTGGAGACCCTGGCGTGCCTGGCCACACTGTCTTATTCACAGAGAAAAACACCCCCACGCTACCCTGTTCTTCACTGCATAACCTCAGGAGGGATCTGCAGGGCTGGGGCTGGCGGAACCCTTGCAGCCAGCCTTGTCCAGAGTTTTCACACCACCACACTACCATCCTACAGAACACAAATGCCCCAATGACAAAGATGCAAGTGACAATCACAGGAGTAACAACACAGGGACTAGCAGTTCCCATTAACTGAGCATGTACTATGCCCTGGACATGCTGCCTGTGTTAGGTCACTTCATCCTGAACCTCTGAATATCATCATCTTTGTAGAAGGCTGGAACAGAATCCTAGAGTTAATGTAATTGGCCCCAAACCACACAGATAGCCAGACTTAGTGGCAATTTCCTTGACCAGGTAAGTGGTAGTAAACACACTTGGGGGGGGGGGTCACAGCAATTTCGGGGTAATAGGTTGAGTGCACCTCACTGTGAATGATGGAAATCTTCCTCAAGCAAACAAATCAAGTCCTGGTATGGTGGGTCTTATTTTTTAATGCCCCATGGGGATACACCAATTAGGAAATCCTGCCAGGAAATCCTGCCCCGTGCTGACCAGAGCGCGTTATCGATGGGCTATAACTGTCCATATGTTTGTATTTTTCTTGAGGGGGCTTCCTTAAAGTGGGGCACACCAGTCACCTCCTTTCATGAGCCAAGTTTCCCAACTACATCCCTAAGCAGCAGAGATGGCAGGAAATGACAACTCAGCAAACAGGACACTAGGGACTGTGACACCCCTACCCCCTGGTCAAGCTGGGCTGTGCAGGGCCAGCCAGTGTCACGTGGCCTTGGGCTCCCAATACTTTCCATGGGGCCCACAGTTCAGTATTTTAAACTATATTATACTAGGACTGTCCCTATGTTTATGTGCAACATGGATGCTTTTCAATAGGCCCATTTCCCTGTACACACCTGGCCCCAAACTTGACACCCTATGTGGTCCAAGGAACGTGACTTCAAACCTGATAACCAGCAAGCTCTTCAATCAACTCATCTAGGAAGAGGCGACAGACACAGCATTCCTGTGACAAATTCTTTGTGGAGAGAAGTCTGACAGGCACCTCCTGTGGGGAAGAGAAACACGCTAAGCCCCAGGGCAAGTCCTGGAACAGGGCTGGCTTCAGAATCCTGAGGCCCCTGAAAATCAGCTCCACATTCCAAGACTCCAGATCAGGGACAAAGAAGCCTCCTCTGCCCCACAGGTTGGTTTCGCCTGTGCCTGGGAGTTGGAGGCTGAGGAGAACAAGGATGCATGGAGGCAGGGCCCGCCCACAGGTGGGGCGCCATCACGTGCAGGGTCATGGCCGCGGATCCTCCAGGAACAGTCTGAATGCCTGGCCGGCTGCCTTGAAGCGCAGCTTAATCCAGATGGAGAGATTAGCGCTGAGGCCTGGAAAACAGAGGGAGAGAGGGAGGGAGAGAGGGAGGGGGGAGGGAGGGAGAGAGAGAGGGAGAGGGAGGGTGGAGTGGGGACAGTCATACGGTCCAGCAAGTCCGGAGGACTGGCCTCCATGGCACTGCTGCAGCTCACACACAAACCGCCAGGGGGCAAAGCCCCCACCCAGGGGTCACACGGGCCATGGCGGAAAGGCTGTTCAGGTGGCTGGAGGAAGCCCCCCAGGTTTTCACACATTGCAGAGGGCCACTGGCCCCAGGAACATACAGTGCTGCAGATAAACAAGGCTCCTCGTGAATAAATTCTACCTGTGAGTGTGTGCCGACGTCAGAGGAAAATGAATTTCCATCCACCGGCTGGCAGATCAGACAACACTCCAGACGGAATGGAGTCCACCGTCTTCTCCACATTAGACACACATCAAATAGTAAATTACATTTTATTTCACTTACAGAAACGTTGGGGAAAAAGAGTGGTGTCTGGGCAACAGCACACAGATGAGAAACACCTAGTTCTCGAGAAGCCTGTTATAAATACGCTGGTGTTCTCAAAGGAAAGTGAGCATGGGGCCCAGGGCAGCCGTGAAAGAAGGGGCACTCTGATCTGCCCTCTGGGTTTAAACCAGCTACTGAGGGCCATCAGCGCCCCTCACACCACGGCAGCCAGAGCCGCGAGCCACCCTGCCAACACCACTACAAGTACAGTTCCCTTTAAAAGCTCAGCAGCAGGTGTGCAGGGAGGTGTCTGGCGGTGTGGTCGCCCGTGGAGGAGGCTAGGCAATAAGAAGGCAGCCCTCCCTGTCGCTCTCCAGACTGGATAACAATCACACGTCCCAAGGCTTGACAAGTGGAAAGTCCATTCCATTAGTCCTGACATTCTTCTCCTGCTCCACAGATCTACACGGTTCTGTGCATTATCCCTTCGCTCCCCACCTCCGGCAGTGTACCCCATCCCCACCCCTGGAGTGCCAATCTGCAATCTGTAATTCCCATGTGTCCAGGTGGCTGTGGGTTCTGCCCAGGAGGAAGAAGGCAGCTCCCTGCCCCCTGGCCAGTCCTTTGGGTTCCAGGGTCCCCGTGGGGGTCCTCACAGGACAGGTGCTACAGCAGCTTGACGTAATTCTGTGGAATCAGCCCTCTCTTGCCGTTCAGAGTCCCCTCTAGCCAGCCAGGTTCCCTCGAGGTTTGCACTGAAAAGGAAGAGAAATCACTTTTTACCACAATGCCCCCAACTTCCTGCTCCCTGTGAGTTCACTGGACTGCTGTGTATCTTCAAGGCTCAGCCAACAGGATGGGCCCACAGTGTGCCAAGTGCAGCGCCATGGTCAGCAACACCCTCCACCCACAGAAGTCCGTGACGCACTCAAAGCCCTACCTTCCAAGGCCCAAAATGCTGTCCTGACACAACATCAATTTTGTGGACATCCTGGAAGAAGGTGATGCACAGAGAACTTAAGGAACTTATCCAGAGTCACACAGAAAGCGGAAAAACCAAGGTCTGACCTCAAAGTGACTCCAGAGTTCACAATCCATAGCTACCTGCTATGAATCACTCTTATCTTCCAAAATCACACTGAGAAAAACTGATGTTGTGTATGTGTGTATGGGCATATATATGTATGTGTGTATGAAGAGAGACACACCCATATATAACCAGTCTCTCTCTGTCTCTCTCTGTCTCTCTCTGTCTCTCTCTCTGTCTCTCTCTCTCTCTCTCTCTCTCTCTCTCTCTCTCTCACACACACACACACACACACACACACACACACACACACACATTTTTTTTACGAGGACTCCGGCAAGTCGCCTATCGCTGGTAATATAAGTCCTAAGCGAGCATACTCATATGGCTCCGTTCTGGCTATAGAGACGTGAGGGCAGGTAAACTAGGAAAGAAGTCTGGAAAATTTTTCTTGTCCCTAAAGAAAAGGAACACAAGGATGAGGCACCCCCTCCTGCTGGGGCGGAGTGTGGCCACGGGGCCTGGAAACTGTGGCAGCCATCTTGACTCCATGGGGAGAAAGCAGATACCCCAGTCCCAAGCTGAGAATGGTTCACCAGAGGAAGAAATGCTCCGCACTTGGGGAATATAAATTAGCCAATGCTGGGGCGCCCTATTTCCAGACTTACTACTGGGTGAGCTAATCCATGCTTATGACTGATTTAGCCACCTGTGTCCATTTTTGCCACTGTAGCTAAAGGCATCCTAATAGATACACCCTTTTATCGGGGTCACTATCTCAGAGGCTCCCCAACAAGCCCAATCACATCATGCAAAAACTCGTCCTTTCTCAAATGGGTGGGCTTCCATGCTACCATCTCCGCCTTCCCTTCTGCCGTATGCTGTACCAATATGTGACAGGCCTGGAGTGGGGCAGCTGTGTTACCACACTCTCCCAGCACAACTGCACGTACAGACGTTATGGTGGTAGGAGTGACCTTCCTTCTACTCCAAGAGCAAAATTTCTCCACCAGGTATAATTCCGTCATTATCTGGGGTTTTTTGTTGTTGTTTTCTGACACCATCAGGAGTCCCTGGCTCTCAAGAGTACATATCACAGATCTATAGAAGTCTCTGCTAAATGAGGCAACTTGCTTTCTGAAAAAGAATCACTGGCAAATGCCGCATTACTGACAATGCAGCTCTATGCATCATCGTGTTGATATTCTTATCAACTTATCATATATTCCAAACATTCTGGCTATTCAGCCGTTCCTGTCCAAGCACCTAAGGTTCTCACTGCTCCCCAGAACTCTTCTGGGCAGCTCCACCCACGCACGACATCGCTGTTTCCACAGCAACCAGTGACTGTCACAATGAGCAGGCCTGGAGAAGAAAGAAATCAAAGGAGGTGGGGGAGAGAGACATACACTCAACCCTAGGAGGAATTTGTGCAACACTGAGCCGGGCATAGCTCCTAAATGCTTGTGCGTGAATCTTACACACTCAAAATCTGCATCCTTGTTTCGGTGTGCAAAGTCAATACCCACAGCTCAAAATCTGCACACTACTCCAATCAGCAGAAACCACATACCGCATAGGAGTAGGAAGGGAATTATACACCAGGTTTTTCTGATAATAGTACTCCTCTGTAGCTCAGATTTGGCAAACCTGGAGCATTTGGGCAGCTTGCTTGGGGACTCTGGGAGAGGAAAGCAAAGGATGTGCATCACAAGTATTCCTTAACTCCAAGTGGCACGAGCTTCCTTACACCAGGAGAAAGATGTCCTGGAGGAAGAGCCACACGAGTCAGAAGGGCTAGAGAATAACCAAGATTAAAGCAGAAATGAGATCTGCCACCACCGCACAACCCACTGATGACCAGTTCCTGGGAGCCAAATGGGCCAACCCTCTCCTGTCCAAGGCGTCAAGGGGTAGGCGTGTGCTCCTGACAACACCACAGCCAGGGGCCACTTGCTCTAGGTTGTTGACATGTTGGGGTGACAGAACATATCCCACCACAAAGCTCCCATGAACACTTACCATCTTCAAAAATTGCTCCGATTTCGAAAGATAATTCCGAGCTGTGCTCTGCTTCACACGGATACACTGCCCGAGCCTTCCGACTGGACACACTGAGAAGGCAAAATGAAGGATACAGATTAAAATGAGGAGAAACCAGGAGAGAGAAACCTCGCCTGCCCTCCGTCTCCCATGGCCCAAATCTCACGTATGTATGTCCTCAGTGGGACAACTCCTTCCACAAAAGAAATTAGCAGGGAAGGGAACATCAGGCAACAGTAAAGCACTTGATTTTGAAGTAAATGATGGGTTTCAAATTCAAATCTTTCTTCAGGGAGCCTCTCGGAGCAGCTTTCCCTGAACCTCTTCACCTAATTCTCCTCTCCACCCAGCGGGATGCCCTTGCCTATCATTCGGCATCATCAGAACCACAGGACGTGTGTATTTCCTCAGTACTTCGGCTTATCGATTAGGAAAAGCCCGTGTCTTGAGACAGAAGACCCGGTCATGGAAAGACAGAGGCACACACATACTAAGTGGCTTCCGCAATGTGCCGCGGACACGGATCTGTCTACACAGACAGTCGGCCTCACGTCATTCTGGAAAAGGGTTTATTGTTCCTACTTGGGTCTTCTGTATTTAGACCCCCTGACACCTGCTCCTAAAAGCCGTATCAGGCTCAGCTTCTCACCACTTGTCAACACGTTCCAGGTGTCCTGGTGGGGACAGAGCATCCTGGGAAAGGCCAGAAACCACACTGTGAGCCAAACTGAAGCAGAGGGAAGGGCCCCGCCTCACTGGACTTGGGGGGGCAGGGGAGCCAGTCGTGATAAGAGCTTCTGCCCACCACCTAGAGGAAGGGTTTGCTAAAGGCCAGCATCTCTGGCCTCTGCACTGCGTGGCCGTGGTAATTACTATTTTCAGTGTCCAGTTGACTGTTCTTTAAAACAAAGCACGTGCTTTATATTCGTATATAAGTTCTTCCAAAATAAGTGGTTTCATCAATTCAAAACCTGCACCAAAAAGAGTGGGTTCAATAAGGCAAATTTCTCCTATGAGCATTCTTGCTCTTGAACCGAGGCACAGCCCCGAGACAAGGTTGTACATGTTTTTCAGGCGGCCAGCAGAACCGAGCCGGCCTTTTCCTCAGAGAACATGAGGACCCACTCAGCTTCACTGAGCCCCTTCCGCGTGCGGCCGCTGTATTCTCCATCATATTCCAAACCGCGTACCTTTCAGGTGGCTTGTCTGCTGCAGTGGCAGGAAGGGGGAAGGGGCAACGTGACGACTTAGGTGAAGGAGGTGTACCGGCCGGGTTGCAGCCGGGTGTGGTCGGAGACTGTGGGTTCAGCCACTGGACCATCGATGATCGGGTCTGGCTTGGGCTAAGGGTGGAAGTTTGAAGAACAGGATTTAATCGTATAAAGGCCGCAGAACCCCAAATACACAATACCCCAATCCTAAATAGCTAGGATGACAGCTTCCTTCTTTCTCCCAGTGACCAGAAGGGACAGAGTCCTCTCCACATCCTCCCAGGTCTGTAGTCCCAAGAGTCACACCCCCAAACTAGAGCTGCCTTATTGTACTGCTCCAGCTGTGTGGAGAAGATCTAGTCTTCTAGATCTTCTAGATCTTCTGGTCTAACCTAGCACCATGCCAGATCACTAATTAGGACACTGGAAATAGGTGCCCAACATAGTTGCCCGGACTTTTGAGATGTTCGTGTTTTCTGCTTATAAGGAAAGTCCTAAGAATCTGCAGTCAACCTTGTGACCTACATAGCTCCAAAAATTCAGCACATGGCCTGGGAACATTTAAAGGTCTTTCATCTGTAGCAACTCAGAAAAAAGTGCCATTAGGACTCGTGATCCCTCTAGAGAGGACCAAGCTAGCGTTTAAAGGAGAAACCAAGAACAGCAAAACTCTCTGGTGACCAGAACCTCCGTTAATATTTGCAAATAAAAAATAACTAATGTAAAAAGGTCAGTGAACAGACTTGTGGAGGGGCCTCTAAACATGAAGACAGAGTTCAATAAATATGTGTTGATCTGAACCACAGTCTTCTTAAATGATCTCAAAACGATGGTATACGACGCTCACTTGGTGCAAGTTTCTCGTCTCCTTCAATCCCATTTTCGGTACATAGGTCTTGTGTCTGCTCCACTCAGATGCTCTTCACCTCAAACTCATCCTCTTGGGCTCAAACCAGTTTCCATGATCAGCTGTTTCCTGTCCTTCCACATTCCTGAGCATTACCTTTTGAGTCTTCCTGCTCTAGCAAAACTAACACCCAGCTCTGTCCATTTTCACTTCAAGTAGCTCCGAGGCTGTTCCTTGCTCTACCGTCTCATTATTCGGAGACGATCCCATTCTCACTGCTTCGTGCCACTGTGACCACTGTGGTCTCCCGGCGAAGCCTGCAGCCCAATTTTCCGACTCTGCCAGCTCTCAGGCTCTCCCACTCCTCTACCTTTCCTAATCTGTCCCTAACCCAGCTCAGCTCCAGGCCGGCCTGCCCCAGGATTTCTCCTTTGGCCTAGGTCATAAATCTTCTCTGAAGTCCCATCACACGGATAAAAGTCAGGGCAGGTTGGCATGAGTTGTTCTGTGATGGGCTCAGATATTTCTCTTGTCTTTGGGGCAACAGCAAGTCTTTAGCCATTTTTGTAGGCGTCACATGGCCAGGCAGAGTGCTAGGCACATGAAGTGTTCAACCAACACCCAAGCAAACAATTCAGATGCTTCTGAAACTGAAACTAACACATTACACTACTGACTTGATAGATATTAGTACCCAGGTTTCCTATCCTTTGATCAGAAAAGGGGCAGAGGGTGCACTTTAAAAAAAAAAGCATTGTTCCTTGAACAATCACTTGGAAATCATAAAACCTATTTCACACCTAGCAAAGAGACCCATAAATCTCAAAGTGATGTCTACCACCAGCAGCAAAGGTTCTTTCTCTATTCTTTATCCGAAAATGAACTTTAAATGGTGTCTTACTAATCAGGAACGGAGAGGACGGGATGAGTGGGGCTCTGACAGGGAATTTAAGACTGTCCTTAGCCAAACAATTGCCATTCTACCTCCCAGCAATTATTCAAGGTGCTTGGAGGCTAGTGGTGCTGGAAGATGAGAGGTCTTGCCACACCCCCGTCAACACTGTCTAGTCATAAATAGCCAAGAGATTAAATGATGGCCATCCATCTGCTGAGAGGGAGGACAGCTATGGGATGAAGACAAAGTAACCATGTGACTATATTTATAAGGCTCTTTGAAAATACAGATCATAAATTTTATAGCTATTGTCTACGTAATCCTCACATCTTTCTTTAAAAAGTGTTTCTAGTTTTTTAATAAAGGGAAGATACCACTTTTGGAAAGTGAGAGAATCGTCAGAATGGCAGGTGCAGAAGGTAAGGACCTGTCCCTTAGCTGTGCTTTCTCCATCCTGTTCCAAAGCAGAACTCAGAATCAGCGTCCATTTCCAGGGTCAAGTTCTCCACCTTGGCCTTGCTGGGCTTTTTTTTCCTGTGATCTTTTTCTTGTTCAACATATATAGATGTGTTATGTGATCCAGCACGGACCAGTTCACCAGGATAACCTATCGGATAACCTATCTGACTTGCCATTTAAGACTTAAATCTCTGGATTTGAATTCCTGGGTTTTTCCCTGCAGTATCTCAGAAGTCTCAGCTAGTGCTTCTCCTCTGGATTTCAGAATCCCACGTGGGCACAAACACTGACAGCTGGGATATTCACGAGAGGGAGCAAAACCAAAGTCTGGACACTGTCTCTGGAGAGGAGGCCGAAGAAGTCACGTGAAGGATCAATTAGAAGTCTGTGAAAGAGGAGACCCATGCAGCAAAACCAAGTTTGGGAAATGGAACTGTGTGGCTACAAAAAACTTGCAAAGCTTTTCCACTGGGAAGGAATGGGATGAGGCAAGAAGTAGTTAATAAATATGCTCAAGACCTAAAGTGAATTCTCACCTCAGCCAGCAGAGGTCGGATGATGGCATAATTCACAGGTGTCTCCCCAAAGCAAACTGTCCATATTTTTTGAAGCCAAGCAATTATAAGATGAGCTTATTTACAGAAATCATCTCCTACTTTCCAGAATGTGGGTAGTGGTGTGTGTGTGTGTGTGTGTGTGTGTGTGTGTGTGTGTGTGTGAACAAGGCTCAAATTTTAACTTCATTCTTTAAAATACAATACTTATATATTTTCTCAAAAAGCAATAGAGGAAACCATTACTTTTACAAGAGAATTCTGATATTCTCTTTCTCTTCTTTGATTTAAAACATTTTAGAGGAGAACTAGGTATTTTGCAAATGGCAGCCTCTAGCAAAGGCCTAACAGTTTTTCTCAATCTGGGGCCTTAGGAGAAAATTAAGCCCTAAGGTGTCCAGGTATGTAATGAATGAACACCTTTCCTATACATCTAGAATGGTTCTAGCTACCTATGTTTTGCGTCTCTCGCATATCCGCACATGTTACGAGCAGAGGCACTGGCTGCATTTGTCCTGGATTATCTTTTCAGGGATGTTTGCAGAGCAAATAGCCTTAGACGATGATTGTGTCTCCTTGGAAACAAAGAGCTGGTTTTACTGCCCATCAAAAAAGATCCGAGTTTCCTAAGTTCTGGGTCCCCCCCCCCTCCCCCGGTAATACTCCATATGCAGGTGTCACCTGGCCCACGGGCATCACCTTTGGGACATGGGGACCTGGGGAACTGATCCTCTGACTATGCTATTGCTGTGATCGGCAGGGTCCTTTTGGCTAAGATCAGGAGTCCCATGTCCTCTGCCAGCATCCATGAAACCATCACAGGAAAAATATGGTTGTTTACAAGCAGAGTAAAGCTTCAGACTTCACAGCTCTTGGCATTAACACCTTGGGAGAACTGAGAGAATACTCATTCAGGTCATTTTTGTACTCTGTGGTTCAGAGGAGAACCATGGCTAGTGAAGTCTTAGTGTTAAAGATCATAAATAACAGGTGATATAAAAATAAAAAGCTCATTCCCTACTCGAACACAATGAAATGTTTTGCATGTCCGTCCTCTCCTATCACTCCCCAAACCTAAACATTTCTTTTTCTTAATGTACTTATTTCCTTCTTCCTGCTTCCCCTTTAATGGAGGATGCTTGATGAGTAAGGCGGGTGTGACCACAAACCACCCATTTTATTTAATGATGAGCTGCTGACCAATTATAAGACAAGTATCTAAGTGCTACATGTTTCTGGAAGGCCAAGTTGTGGCTTGCAAAAATGGAGACAGAAGTCAACTCTTCCTGAAAAGCTCAGAAACCACATGTACTAAAACAGAAGTACATTAAAGAGAAATACTAATATCTGTGTGCCAGCTTCCTAATTTCGCACACTACATGGAAAGAACCTTCTCCTGAAGCAGAACCTCCCTCTACCGCCCGTGCCCCGCCCCCCCTCCCCCACCTCGGGAGCCACCATGTCTGCCTTTCCTTAAGGAGATGCTTTTCTTAAAGAAAGGGACACACGGAGACAAAAAGGTTTCCAAAAAAACACAAAGAATTCATACAGCTCACTCAGAAACTCATCCTTGAAAATACTTGTATTGAAAGTCTACCTGGCTATTCCTACAGCAACAGAGAAGTCTCTCGTGTGCGGTGCAGGATGGGTACAATGGCTGGGAGAGCCAATCAACAGGGACTGGGGTAGCATCTGTGAAAGTGGGGAGAAAATGCTCATCTATAAACACAACCAACGCTCTTGCTTTGGGGGGGGGGCAGGGGGAGGAGGCCTGCATCCCAGGGAAAGACCCTACGGCTTGCACTGTAGGGAGGAACAAACCCTCAAACACATGAAATTAGGACAGTAGGCGGGGGGTGGGGGGTGTTACACTTTTTACAGAGTTTATTTTTCTAAAATGTGACACATCAGCAGTATATGCTGCTTCTCATTCAAACTGTGACCCAATCGTCTCCAATCCCAGACTCTACGCGCCATGCATATTAAAAACTTTTTGGCAGCAAAAAAGCACAACCATTTCAAATATGGGGGAGGGGAGCTAGGACCTTAACTGTTAAAATTCAACAACAGCTGCAGGCAGAGTCACCAGAGAGCTCCTGTATCCAACAAACATTTCTTGCATAGCGCTGACGGGTCAGGCTCTGGACAGTGCGAGCAAAACAGGCGCCCGGCTCCAGGCTCTTTTGAGCGCTGGGCATAATTTAAAATTTGAAGGACGTAGAGCAGGGAGAAGACATGTCAAGAGAAGAAATGACTACTTACATAAAGTGATTAAATCTCCCCAATACCAAGATATTTGACGGCGGTTAAATGATGTCAGAATCAAATCAGAAGTTTGTGCTGGGATGAAAGATTTGAAAACCTCATTTGCAAGGTC